GTGAACCTCCATGTGCAGATTTGGTGGCAGTCACAGCACTTTGTGAACCTCCATGCTTCTCCGAACCTCGACGGGGAAGCTCCGCGGAACGACGGTTGCGAGACGGTCTCGGGTCGTGCTCGGGTCATTCTCGGATCATTGTCGGAATCGTCCCTCTATTGTGATTAGAGTTTTCACTTAAGTCTTGACGTGCAGATGTCGTGGCAGGCACAGCACTTTGTGAACCTCCATATGCAGATTACGTGGCAGGCACAGCACTTTGTGAACCTCCATGTGCAGAATTCGTGGCAGGCACAGCACTTTGTGAACCTCTATGTGCAGACTTCGTGGCAGGCGCGGCGCAGCACTTTGTGAAGCTTGAGGTGCAGATTTCGTGGCAGGCACAGCGCTTTGTGAACCTCCATGTTCAGATTACGTAGCAGGCGCAGCACTTTGTGAACCTCCATGTGCAGACTTCGTGCCAGACACAGCACTTTGTGAACCTCCATGTGCAGATTTCATGGCAGGCGCAGCACTTTGTGCAGATTTCGTGGCAGGCACAGCGCTGTGTGAACCTCGAGGTGCAGATTTTAATTTCGTGGCTGGCGCAGCACTGTGTGAACCTCCATGTGCAGATTTTGTGGCAGCGCAGATTTCGTAGCAAGCACAGCACTTTGTGAACCTCCACGTGCAGATTTCGTGGCAGGCACAGCGCTTTGTCAACCTCCATGTGCAGATTTTGTGGCAGGCACAGCACTTTGTGACCCTCCATGCGCAGATTTCGTGGCAGGCACATCATCTGTGGAGCTGGAAGCTGAGAGGCGACTTTGTAGTACAACTTTAGTACGCGGACTCTCTGGCGAGCTGGAAGATGAGAACTGGCGACTTTGTAGTGCAACTTTAGTACGCGGAGTATCTGGGGACCCGGAAGATGAGAACTGGCGACTTTGCAGGACAACTTTAGTACGCGGAGTATCTGGGGAGCTGGGAGCCGAGAACTGGCGACTTTGCATTTGCACTTGAGTACGCGGAGTATCTGGGGAGCTGGAAGATGAGAACTGGCGACTTTGTAGTACAACTTTTAGTACGCGGAGCCATCTGGCGAGCTGGAAGATGAGAACTCGCGACTTTGTAGTACAACTTTAGTACGCGGAGCCATCTGGGGAGCTGGAAGCTGAGAACTGGCGACTTTGTAGTACAACTTTA